ACAGCAAATCCAAAATTCATTTGACAGAGCTTGGTACAACAGAGCAGTATCCATCTAAAGCTTCAAGACGCACTTAACAAGAGGAAACACAAAGTTTATCTGGCAGAATTTGGTATAAAAGACCACTATCAAAACTAAGTGGTATCTCATTCATAGCTCGCTCCATGTTGCTTTGATCCTGTAAACAAAATGATACGTATTCTCTACAAATATGAAGGCTTCATAATAAATTCTTTTGAAAATTAATAGGTTTTCCCTAGGAATTAAAAAAATTTGTTTTTTTTTTTTTTTTTTTTTTTACTTGTGAAGTAACAAACAACAGAGTCTTTCCAGGGCTTTTGACAAGGTCAGAGCCTCTGCAAAATAAACATGTGGGTGAGCTTCTCTACCCTCTGGATGATCATCTGCAAAGGGATGAATAAACATCAGGGCCCTGGCTTCCAATCAGATCAAGGACCCAAATGTCCCACACCACTGGGGATGTGGTGATTACTTCTGCTTGTCTCTTGGGGCTGTTCTGCTGGATTTCAGTATTGTTCCTGGGTCAGTGGGAATATGAGCGAGGTCCATTTGACACCCACAGGCCCTAGCAGCACAAGGATCCTGCCCCAGCACTTCTGAGTCCAGAATGGATCTCTGCCAGCAGGAGAGCCTCTGGGAGACCCATCCAGAACTGACTGCAAGATGATCCTGGAGGAACTCAAGCAGGAACAAATCCTGTGTTGATTTGGAGTTGGAAACTTTTCCTCCAGCTTCAACGCCCTCCAAGATTAGATAGTGTCTGTCCTTGGAAGAGGTAGAAAAAGATGGAAGCAAGTCTCTGTTTCTTTAGAATTTGGCTTTCAAAATGCTTGGAGGAAAAGCCCAAGGTCACAAGTGATGAAGGCAAAGAAATTGAAGTTTTCAGCTGCAAGAGAAGCTGCCTTCTCCTCTCACCCCAGGTGGAGTTAGTAGCTTTGGCATTCAATCCACTGGGAACAGACATCTACAAACGGTCCAGGGAACATCCAGAAATGTCCTCAGAGCTGCTCACCTCTTGTCTCTCTGAGGAGCGTGTGTGTTTCTGTGTGTCTTTTTCCCACTTGATTTTGAAGGTTTGAGGTAAAAGAGGATACAATAAGCTTCCTGTGTGTCATTTTCAACAGGTCTGATGCCCCTGTGTGTTTGTACGTGGTAGACAGCTTGTTTTTTCATGCCATCAGGGTGGTGTGTGACGCTTGGGGCCACTTTTGCTACATCTTTGGGATTTGATTGTGAGGAATGTAGATGGATGCTTTGCACTTGTTGCTCGTGTTTTGAGAGGGGCAACTCATTCCCATGGGGCTACTGATTGTTTGCCCCACTTGCAGTGTTTATGAGTTTGGTGTCCTGCCCCTGAGGCTGTTGTATGCATGTGAGAAGGCATGGGGCAATCCTGTTTTTGCTGGGTTTGAACTTGCGTGAGGTTATTTCTCTCCCAAGAGAGAGAAAAACGTGCAGAGGGTCAAAGGAGCTCACTCCCCTCCATAGGTCTGCAGGTGTGAGATAGACAGGATATTTACATCGTTCTGCACTTGTGTAATAACTAGCACACTGGGGAGGTGGAACACAGGTGAGCTTCTTTAGGTGCAACTGGATGTCACTATATAAAGTGTTTAATACCAGCATTGCTTTCAGTGGGGTGTGTGTGTGGCAGAGTAATTTCTCTGTGGTTCTTGGACTGCATGAAGAAAATAATTAGTTTCCCACCAGAGGTTACATGAGTTTGTATGTCTGTACCTGGGTGCCTGTGAGTGCCATGGGTGGCAGAGTTAGGTGTCTGTTTTCCTACAAGCCGTTCCAAGCCTGTTGATATTTACGTGGAGGGGAATGTCTTCACCCAGCTGTAGTGCGTGTGTGTTTGTGTGAGGCAGGGGTGCAGATGGTGCCTGTTCAGCTGTAGAGTGGAGGCTTCAGAGCATTGCCACTTGATCTTGCATCCTCTCCGCCTGCCCCTGTGAAGGACACAGTCAACTGGCACAAAAACATGTGGGTGTGAATTGGTCATAAGTAAACGTAGGTGTTGGGGCAGGTTTCTAACATCAGAGTGGCCAGGGGCCAGAACAGCCTCTGAGCAGGGAGCAAATAGTCTCATAGCACTAGGATGGACCTTGAGACATTTCTGAGCAAGATTATCTGATGTGGTTGCCTGGAATAGCAGGAGACTGGATTGCACATCCCAGGAAGCCAGCTCCCATCCAATGTCCTATGTTCCTAAGTTTCTTTGCAGCTGTTGCATGTCTGCGCCTGTCTGAGTGAGACGGGCAGTCCCTCCACGGCCGCGGTGAGTGCAAGGGATGCACCCTGTCCCCTCGGTGGTGGTCTGTGCTTCTGCATGTCTGTCCAGGGATTATTCATGTCTAGCTGTCATGTCTGCTTGTGCTTTCTGTGGAGGGGCTGGGGGAGTCATTTCTTAAGAGTCACCCTGCGTTTGGCAAGGTGGCTTCCTAGCAGCTATTGCCAGTGTGCCTGTTTTGGGGGTTGAGCTGTGCCTGGCTCCCCACCACCTGGAGCACATGGATTTTTGTTTCTGGCTGTAGGCAAGACCTCCATCAGCACTGGCACGTGTGGGTTTGGGCACAGGGAGGTAGAAGGTCTTCCTGTGAGCTGTTGCATGTACGTGAGGGTATGTGGTTACAGGTGATCTCTGAGGAGCATTTCTGCGTGTGCTCATTTGAGGGGGTGTATGGAAGACAATCTCCCCAGAGCAGTCGCATGCGTGTATTTGTGCGCGGATGAAAGGTTTCCCCCCAGCTTCCCCCTGTTGCAGTTTTATGTGTTGTTTTTCTCAGCAAATACTGCAGGGGCACGTTTCAAGGTGTAGTTCCCTGTGGCTGTTGCACGTACCTGTGTTAGAAGGTGTATAGCTGTTGCATGCATACGTGTGTGTGTGTGTGTGTAGCTCCTCAGGAGCTGTTGCTTGTACGTGTGTCATTCCTGGCAGCTGTTGTGTTTTCATGTGGGTGACTTGATTCTGAAAAGCTGTAGCCTTTGTGTGTGTGTGTGTGTGTGTGTGTGTGTGATATTCTTCCACAGCTGGTGCTTGTGTGTGATCCTGGGAAGCTGTTGCATGTTGTGTGCAGCTCTTCAGCAGCTGTTGTAAGGAAAACTGTGTGTGTGTGTGTGTGTAGTTGCCCAGCAGCTGTTGCTGGTGTGCATGTGTGTTTTCGGAGGTGTGCAGCCCCCCGGCAGCTGTTGCATGCCTGCTCATGTCTCCGGTGGAGGCCCACCCCTTTCCGCCTGCACCGGAGCGGTGGCTGTGCGGGCGAGGAGAGCTGGGAGCTGGCTCCATGGGAGAGGGACCTTCGCCCGTCACAGCCTTCCCAGCTGGGAGAAGCAGTGCCGGCTCTGGTCCCGGAGTCCTATCAGCCGAGCCTGTGGCGAATTAATCACTCGCATTTTAAATGCCAATACAGCCCTTTCTGCCTTCTTCCCCCAGTGATGCGGATGCGGCGAAGGCAGCAAATCCTCCGGCTGTGCGTGCCCTCCCCGGACTGCTGCTCCGTCCCCGCCTGTCGTGCTCGCCTGTGTGCGTGGCTGGGAGCGCTGCCTAGGTGCAGCCAGGAATGAGACAGCTGTGGGGCAGGGGACAGCACAGCTCCAAGGGGTGACACAAGGTGGGGGGCATATTCCCCACCCCCCACCTCCCAACCCAGCCCCGCTTCCCCCCGAACACGCATCCGCAGGGCTGCAAGTTGCTTGAAGAACAGGGGTCTTTTGTGCCTCCACTTCGTCTCTGTCATGCCCCGTATGGAAGCTGGGAGCAATCGCCCCTCCAGAAGCAGGTATGTGTGTGTGTGTGTGTGTGCGCGCGTGTGTGTGACACGTTTTTGAGTGCAGCCCTTGTGCAGCTGCCTCGCGTGTCCTCGGCTCCCTGTTGTCGTCTGTGTCGCCTCTCAGAGAAGCGGCTGAGATTGGAGGGGAAGGACCGAGAGGGGGGAGAAGGGCAGGATGGATGGATTGCCTTTCTCCTCCAGCCCCGCATGCACCCCCTGGGGGGGGTGGATGTCTCTGATCTGAGGATGAAGGCAAGGGGTGAGTGCAAGGGAGATGGGGAAGTGACTGTTGGGGGGGAGGGAGGGGGAGATAATGCCCACATGGGGTGATGGGAGGGAAAGAGGCTTGGAGACGGGTCTCCCTTTCAGTGTGTGTGTGTGTGTTTGTGTGTGTGTGCACTCGCTTAGGATAGGGATGCTGAATAGGTCCAGGGCTTGCTGCACACAGCTGGGTTTGACTGGTTTGCTTCTATTCAGACCTTGCAAGAGGAGGGGAGACATATATATGTATGTATATATATCTGTGCTTGTCTTTGTGTGCATAAACATACATATGTATAGGTATAGCTATAGATATATACCCCCCCCATGCATGTGCATATATAGATCTAGGTACACAAACATGTATGTATAGTGCCTGCAGTTATGGGAGGGAGCAGGAGACAGCCTCATCCCACAGCCCCCTGCTCCCTGCCTCTTGCAAACTTTGTCGGGGAGCCTTTGCAGACAGCGATCTGTGTGTGTGTGTTTGGTGTGTGAACATTTGCCTGTTTTGGATGCAGGGGAGTGAATAAATCGCTGCTCTGCTTTTACACTGCTCTGCTGGGAGGCTGACTGGCTGCAGAAAAGTCATTGCGTGGTGTCTGTCGGGTGTGTGAGTGTGTGTGTGTGTGGTGGTGGGAGCTGGATATTTATGTAGGGGCCCAGGACAGCTACTCAGATGCATATGTACGTGTATATGCATTGCTTGCAGGGTGTCTGCGTACCCATTTATTCCAGCAGGGAAAGCATGCCCACATTTTTATGCATAAGGATCCTCCTGCTTTGGGGCATGGGATGGGGGGAGGAGAAGCTGAATGAATGAATGGGAGCAAGAGGAGGGGGAAGGAGGAGGCATGGGGGTGGGGGAGAAAGATGAACAGACGCATCCTATTCTCATCCCAGGACAGGCAGGAGTGCACAGCTGCTGCTGTTCCCATTCCAGAGCTTGGATCTGGCTGGGGAAAGGCAGCATAAATCTGCTCATGCTGCAGCAGGCAGCGTATTCGGGAGCTGCTGTGCGTAATGCCCTCTCCTGTGTGTGCTGGTGTGACTCCCCCCTACCTCTGCGTGCATGCATGCGAGCACACATGTGTGTCTGTGTGCACAGGCGGGGGTGGCTGTGCACAAACAATATGCTTGCAAACATCCTTGCGAGCACCCAGGGAAGGAGGTGTCGGCGACGGGGAGAGCATCGCTCCTGCGCTGCGGGTGCGTGTGTCTCACAGCCCTGCACGGCCCACCGTCCATTTACACCCACTCTGGGCTCACACGAGTGTCTGCTGTTGGAGGCCGGTGGGTGCACACAAAGTGGGTGCACATGTGCAGGCCAGACTTAGGAGCTGCTCCCCCCGCTTTTCCCCTAAAGGCTGGAAAGCACAACCCTTCTCCCCTACCCTGGAGTTAGGGAGCAAGAAACCAAGCTATGGAGCAGGGAGAGGATTGCTGAGATTGGAGCGGGGGGGGGTGCAAAGATTATGTAGAGAGTAGGGAGCGGAGGGGTTCGAGTCCCTGGAGGGGACCTAGGGGACTGGGGAGCCTGGCTGCATTGCATGCTTTGAGCCAAGGAATTTGTCATGCCCTGGGAGGTGGGAGGGAGCGGGAGTGTGTGTGATGTGGGGGAGCTGGGGTGGAGGGGGAGAAAGGGGGCTGTGCCAAGGTACAGGGGGGATTTCTGGTCCCCCGCACCCCCCCCAGTCCTCACACACACCGTCACTCCTGGGTCCCGGGAAGCGCAGCCTGACAGCATCACTAATGTAATATTCAAAGGGAGCTTCATTTGCATGGAGCATGCATTATTAATATATTTAAATACAGCCCCCCTCTCGCCTCCCCCCGCTCTGTGCAGACTGTACCAGCAGCAGGGAGGAAGCTGCAGGGAGTGGAGGGGTGCCGATGCGGTGCTGGGGGTGAGAAACAGCCACTTTAATCCCACCCATTTCCCCAGCCTAGAAACCTTCATTCCCCCCCTCAGCCCCTTCCCCACCTGCCACCCTCCTCACCCCTTTAATTTTCCTTCGGGATGTGGTTGGCCTTCAGGGCATCCGACCCACAAGCACGCAGATGTGTCGGTAGGAAGCAAGCTGCCTTCATTGCTCTTCCCCCACCAAAAAACTCCAACACCGAGGGAAGAAGGGTGGATGCGTGGCCTTTCCCTCTCTTCACCCAGCTCCAGGCAAAGTGGGTATTTGGGAATACGCTGTCTGATCCGCTGCGCCGGTGCAAAGCTAAGCTGTGGAGCAGAAGCTGCTTGGAGGGTAGAGAGGGCGTTGGGGAAAGGGGGGCATACGGGGTGTAGTTCTTGCTTGGGGGCAACTTGCGGTTAAAATGGGAAAGGTGAAAATCACAGGCAGAGGGGGAAGGCGGGAGGGGGGGGGCAGTGTAGCTGTGATGGTGTCTGTGATGTTTGCTCCTACCTGGGTCATGTCAGAAGCCAGCTGCAGCTCCAGGCAGAGTGCAGCTGCCTCAACTGACCCTGTTGAAGAGTGGTGGAGAGCACTGGTCACCTGGGAAAAAAGCTAGTGGTCACATCAGGGCCTGTTGAAACCTCCCAGTGCTGTCAGCAGCTGTGTCAGAAAATATCAGCACATTTGCTGGGAGAGAAAGACCCGGTTGCTCTCTCCCTCATCCCAAATACTGTCTTTTTTCTCTCAGTCCCCTGTAAGTGTGGGCCTGGGCTAAGCTGTTTTTTTTTTTTTCTTAGTGTGAGGGAGGGCAGAGGACATGCAGGGAACACCTCTGTCCTCACACTCTTGTGAGCTGATGAGAGACACCCTGCTCTGGGAAAGGGATGTGGTGTCCCCCAAAACACACTTGCAGCCCTCACCCATGCCCAGGCACCAGAGTAGGACAGGAGCAGCCTAGGTGCAGAGCAAATGTGCTCCAAGAAAATACCCTATTTTCTGAGAACAGAGGAGCTTTTCCTTTTTCTCCTTCATGGAGGAGCAGAGCTGTCCTGAACAGTGAGGGATACCAGGCTGCCAGCAGAAATGGGAGAAGCTGGAGCTTAGCCGGCAGCACTGCGGGTTCTGCTCATGGGGGTTGTCCAGGCTGGTCCCCATGCTGAGTTACAGCCGGTGCTTGAGCTCTCTTCAGGGTTCTGCAGGGGCAGAGCTCAGTGTCCCCTGGTGCCTTTCTGTGTGGGAAGAGGGGTGAAGGAGGATGTGGAGTTGAGCTACTGAAGGGAGGCAGGATGAACGCACAGATGCCACTTTCCATGCTGGGGTGTGTGTGAAATCCTCTTTTTGGGCTGAAAGGCGAGGGCAAAGCTCAGGGAGCAGACCAAAGGAGTGTGACCCACCTCCAGCCCTTTCTGTCTGCTGGGCCAGGATGGGTTTCCTGCAGCTGCGAACCAGATGAAGGCTGTATTTAAAGCCCCAGATGAGTCAAGCTTGGCACTTTGGAGGTGACAAAGACTGTTGTGCTTGCTTCAGTGGCGAGATGGTCTGGCAGCAGTTACAGCTTCACTTTAGCAGAGCTGCATTCATGTCCTGGCTTTCCTGTGCTCCCCAGTCGGCATTAGTTTTGTAGCTTGCTTTGTCGTTCCCTGACCTCCTCTTTAAGGGCTTATAGCAGTTCTTTGGGTCTCCTGGGATCTCAGGTGTACCTAGCCATTGCCTGAGATGAACCACTTTTCTCACAGACAAGACTGACCAATTAATTTTTTGTCACTGAGGAGAAATGACCTCGTTTGCTCAACACTCATAAGCCAAGAGGAAACCCAGTTCCAGCTGACCAGCTGAGGTACAGAAGGAGGGAAGGGAAGTTGTCACTCTTTTCACAGCATTATAAGGGGTGGGAAAGAAGCTATTAGGAGCCAGGTTGGGGTGAATGACTTGGTGGGTTTGGTCCCTAGATGTTGCCTCTTGAAGGAAGTCTTTAAGGTTCCCAGGAAGCCCTAGTTTAGGTAGACACAGCAGCTACATGGTGCCTTATAGCATAGTGCCAAATGCGAGACAGGCACGGGATCAAAACCCCATAGGAGAATCTGTCCTGCTGCTGAAGGTGACACCTATTCATCCTCCTGTGCTGAGGCCGTTCCTTCCCATCTGCAGTCACCCCAGAGAGTGCATCTCCAGCTTCTCAGCCCTTTAGCACAGAATTTTGTTCCAGGCAATGCTTTGGGGAGCTGATGGTGCAACATGAATTTCACAAAGGTAAGATGATGTGTCTGGGGGCCAAGACCTCATGTTCTGAGCCAAGACGCCCACACACAAGCTTAACAACCACCTGATTTTGGTAAGCTGTAGGGGAAGGACTGTTTGCAAGAAACTGTGGGTGCTTTTACCTCCTGTGGATGTCAGTTAATCTGATAGCAGAGAGATGGAGCAAATACTGTTGTGAGGAAGGATCATCAGCAACGTGACTTGGGGAGGGGGTCACAAAGTAGCAGGAGAGATCCTTTGCTCTGCCACAAATGGCCTGTGGGGAAGTTCCTTCCTTCCCCTCTATACACCTCAGCACTCACCTCACTTCTGAATGAGTTGGGTGATAAGCTGATCACCATGGAAGGCCTTAGAGATGTGCAGACTCTGCCTGAGGATGATGTACAGGCTACCAGTTGCCTTAAGGCAAGGTGTCACATGTTTGTATTCATTCTTTACATGGTCATGCACTCAATCTGTAGACCAGATGGGTCAGAGCTGCCAGTGTATTTTTAGGTTACTATGAGGACTCCATGAGCTATCCTTCCTCTGGGAAGATTGGTTTATGCATGAGAACATGTATGTTTGTAAACAGGGGGAGAACGA